ACCTGTGGGCGTGCACATGATGAACCATATTCAACCATATTCAATGTCATATTTCAATGACATGGTTCAAGGAATTCAGTGCCTCAAAATTAGCTTAGGACATTACGAGACATCTCCAAATATATGCCATATTTTGGGTGTATGAAATAAAAAAATACCAGCAAATTGCCGATGCCTAGTGAGCATCATAATCACAAAGGTTTCTTTATTTGGTGGAATCTACATTCAAGGACATAAAAGAGGGAAAAGATATTAAAGAAATTGCATCAAAACAAAAATTAAATAGACATGCATCTATGACATGAATTTGAATTTGAGAAATGTTTAGGATGCATGTAAAAAAAATGGTTGCCAGTTGTCCAGTTTGAATAAAATTGCAAAACAAAATGAAATGAAATGCATCAATAACCCACCATGAGTTATGTCAATATAAATTTTGAATGAAATCGAATCAAGCATGCCTGGAAAACATGTTGAAATGTTGTTCTTAGTTGTTTTGAGTGACAATGAAGTACAGTAGTCAGTCAGTCAAGAAAACAAACAAATTGTATTTGTATACCATTATTTAGTTGATCCTATAGCAATTTTGAATAAAATTGGTCACGACATAGACTACCGGTAGATGCAGTCTATTATTGTGAATCAGTCTGGAGGGCTATGGGTGGCATTACGTACGAGTTAGTTTCAAATCTGCAATGAAACATAATTCTGTGCTGTATTCGTATATTACATTATAACGATTCACCAGACATTCTTGAGTGCATTGGGAAGAGCGCTCTGAATGGCTGGATTCCTGATTTGTCTTGACATGTCTAAGAAACATAGTTGAACTCTGGTGACCTTGCTCTTTGTTATATAATATAATTCCCTTTATCACAGTTTGTTTCAATATGAATATGCATATTTGTCATAATTAATTTTGAATACAAACCAGTTTTAGGATTGAAACAACAGTGGAAAAGCAGTCTATCGAATGTCCTTGATTGATGTGTATATATATATATATATATATATATATATATATATATATATATATATATATATATATATATATAAAAACACTGGTGCCTAATTTGTTGAATTATTTTAAGATCATTATTTCCAGTTGGCTAAACAGACTGAAAAAATTGTAGTTGTACGCATTGTTTTATTCATGCATAGCACATATTGAAGCCATAGACATTTTTCCCTTCATATACCTTTCTCTTTCATTTTGATGACACAGGCAAGGTAAAAATTGATTTTCCCACAATCCAATGTGCTCTTCTAATGGAAATCACAAAGTATTGCAAATTTCCTGTTTTGCTATCTAGTGTAATGGATCATAGTTTGTTTTTTTGCAATTATTTCAACCAATTCACATGCAGTATAGCAAAAATACAATACAAATATAGCTGAATAGTAAAATATATTGATGACTACCGTATATGGTGTGAAACTCAGAACACTGACAAGCCTAACACTTTAGGTATCAGAAATATATTGATGACTACCGTATATGGTGTGAAACTCAGAACACTGACAAGCCTAACACTTTAGGTATCAGAAATTCAACAAAAGTGACTAACATATCTGCTCTATGTAAATATATTGATGACTACCGTACATGGTGTGAAACTCAGAACACTGACAAGCCTAACACTTTAGGTATCAGAAATTCAACAAAAGTGACTGT